AGTGGTGGCGAGCACGGGCAATCCGGCGGGGTGGGGGATGGTGGTGGAGGCGTCTAGTTCGCGAGATGCGGGAGCACGCGGGCCTGTTGCCAAAGGCGGGCAGTAAGCAAGTGGGTCGACCATTTTTGCTGCGCGGATGGAGTCGGCAACGGAGCTCCCAGCCAGGGGCTGGCGGATGTCGGCGTCGGGGAGGGGTCAGCGCGCGGAGCAGGCGGGCGCGGAGGTCGCTGCATCCGGCTACTGTACAGCCCCTTGACACCTCGCATTCGTCATTACTAGCGCCGCAGTTGGTGGACTCCCTACCTGCGGCCCGTGTTACGGGACTCGGCGGGCGTCGGGGCGGCCGGCGGCGCGGCGCGATGCGTGCGACTTCTTTTTCGCAAAAGCTCGAAAGCGAGGTCAAAAGGACGCGGGAGCAAGAAGCTGGCTGACCCCACCGCCGAGCTGCTCTTGGGTAGATTGGTGCCGGGAACCGTATTGGCGGGGGGGCCGGGTTGGGTCTGATGCCGGGAGGGTAGAGTGGCGTGGGTCGAGACTGCGGTGGATCACACGGGGAAGAGCGGGGGCGGAGCGGAGCGGGCGCGGTGGGGGGTGCGGGCGCCGGGTAGGGCGGGGGGGTCGGGTCTGGTGGTGTTAGGGGTTGAGGTTGGGTGGGGCGTGGCGTGGGCAGGGTTCCGGGGAAGGTCGGGTGAATGCGCGGGGCGTGTGTCAGGAGAGCATAACGATACGAACCATAAGCAACGGCGGAGCGACCGGGCACCCCTACCCATCAAAGACGTATAACCCATTCACACGCCTCACACTTTAAAAGGCTGTACTACAGAGGGGCATGGGAGGCCACAGTATTCTACAGCCGCTCATGTTGTCGCAACCATTTGGTGAAGACACTAGTGTGGAATGGGGAACCTTTAGAAGCGCACAATTATTAGAAGACGTTCAATTAATTGCCGGGCAGAAAGAACAGCTCAGAAGTAAATTTTCTGGGGAGAACATTTTGCTATGTTTACACAAATTTTAATTGGGGAAGGGGCTAACTGGGGCCTTTTTTAAATTGGGTATGGGGGATGAAAAAAACTAGAATAACGGGGCTGAGAAAATTGTGTCCGCATTTTTTAGTGTATATAAATCCTTCAGGAAAGAGCCTTTTGTCTTTATTTTGTATGGGCATACTGTCACATTCAGGCCTCACATTCATTTGCGTAGTTCAAGGTTCGGTCGGGTTTGCTTGGCTTGTCTGAACCTGTCGATTATTTTTTCTCGATTAATTAACTTCAGATGAGCTGTGGAGATTCCTCAATGCTCATGCGGTGAGACATGATCTACACAAAATTTTATTTTTATGCAAAAATTAAGACCAAATTTT